AATCATTTTAAATACTGGCTAATTTCAGTTCTTGTCTTAAGTTTATTTCCATTTCCGTCTTTTAATGATGTTATTTCGGATTTTCCTGGCGATATTCTTCTCCCAAATACTTTTTGCCCCTTGTTGCTTTCTATAACTTCCTTTATTACCCTCTCGTTATACTTGGAGTGATCAGTTCTTACTTGGTTCTTGATAAGCTTGTTTCTTCGCTTCAGTTCATCATTTATCATGGATATTTTATGTTTATTTCTATCTGCAATAAGCTTTTTAGTATCCTCAGAGATTTTGTTATTCCTTTTAGTTTTCCTATCGACTGAAAGGGTTTTTTCAACAGCTTTCTTTATGTTCTCTGATATGTACTAACTGTGTTACTAAGTTGGCTTACCTCACCAAAATTTTCTATTTCTTGTGTAAGAATACTATCGAGATTTGTTCTTTACTCGTCTTCCCTTTGTTATATGTATTCTGCATCTTTCATTCGTTTTTGTGAGAACACCCAGTTTTTGTCTTTCGTCTTTTACATTGATGCGTATTTTCACTCTCACAAATCTGTGATCGCTTATAAGCATATTATTTAGCAGTTTTTTAACATTTTGGATCATGTTTGTAATAATAAAATCTATTCCATTCTCTGTTTAGCCGCCTGGGCTTATACATGTCCATTATCGTCCTGTCTTTAGCATGAAAGAAAGAGTTCATACGTTTTTGTTGATTTTTTTCTAGAAAGTTTACTAGCATCTGGCCTTCTTAATTGCGATCTCCCACCCCATGTGCGCCCAAACAGGTCTCTCCATTGCGATTTTTTGAGACCTTAGCACTGAAGTCACCGCACACAATCTGGAAGTGGGTTTTGTTTTCATCCATTGCTCTAGCCACCTCATCATACATTTCATCCACTTCTTCGTCTGTATGTGTGGTGATTGGTGCGTCTACAATTTTCATATAAAATATTACTTAGTTTAGTAATCGAATATATGGAGTCATTGATCTGTAATTTCTCCATTTCTGGAAGAAGTAAGTGCTAATTGTTTTTCTTGGATTACAGTTTTTCCATTTGAGAAGTTCTCACTGAACATGATGAACTGAAATGCAGCAGCATTTGTCGAAGAATTCTTCGTGATATATGTATTCGGAATTAATTTTATGGAATGAAATTTCCATGTATTGAAATAAATTTTCGTTAGAGCCAAATAGGGAGTTGAAGGAATTCTGGTAGTATGATTTGCAAAGGATATTGAGAAAATACTTAAATATGTGAATATTTCTAGGGACAGAATGGGAAAATGCAAGCTGATTTGACAAGCATCCATCTATGCTAATTATATCATAGTACTTAGGTTTATTTTCTTCGTAGATATAAGGTTGCTGGATTTCGGAGTACCTAGTGGTCCAGTGTTCCTAACAGCACATTTAGTTCGTCGGGTTCGATAAGAGAGTTATGAACGTTGTTTGTGATTGCAAAATTTATAGCTACATCAAGGTCATTGAGGACTTGCAAAATGATTTGAACAGCTAAGTACAGCTGATCTAAGACGTTTCTAGGTTGTAGAAAATGATTAAAGTCGATCATTAAATGATTTAGTTTGGATTATAAGAGAGATTTTTTGTTTTGTTCGAAGTTTCCATTATTTCGATGTTTAGACGTTGATTTTCTTAGGAGACGATATTCTCTTGGCTATGTTGCATTATTGGGATTGCGGCGTCGTACCTTTGGACGTCTCCGTGGTCTTGGTTTCCAAATATGGTTTCAATAGCATTGCCGAGAATGTTAAAAATTCTCCTTCTGGATCTAGATATGTACGATGGAGGGTAAGAAGTTTTTCCTGGGCGGCCATTAACAGAGATTGTGAACTTTGATCGAAATTATGTAGGCTTTTGGAATATGGATGACAGTTCATTTTCTATTGCTGTTCTTACTGATTTGTATTATTTTTCCAGAGGCTGAAGTTCATTAACAATGTCTAACGAACATCGCAAAGAATTTCTACAGTTGTTTCCTAGAAGATTTTTCATATTATTTTTATGAATTGTCGCGTGTTGGTTGACAATGGTCACCATATTGTCAGTGTTACCTATCTGACTTGGGAGGATCATGCAACAACTTTGTTCCGCTTCATATTTTTCCTAATGTTGATCTTGGTGCCAAATTTAGCGGGGTTTGCCTGTTTATGTTTCTGTTTTCTATGTAACTTCTTTCGATTTATGTAGCTCTTAGTTCAATTCCCTGTAGATAGTCTTCGCTTTTCCCACTCTTGCTGGGAGTAATGTATATGAGAGCGAAATACCGATGACCGCTCACCTAATCACTGAATCATTCACACAAAGAAAGATCTGTCCAATGGCCCAATAACAACATAGCATAGTGATAAGAGCAAATCTCAGGCCTTGCTCGGAGCTCTTTGGTTCTATAATCGTTCGCGCCTTTATGTCAACCTGATTTGTGTAACTTTCACAAGACGGCGACAAATTCTGCGGAATGTTTCCTGTAACAATTCACACCGAAAACACTCCTTCGTTCCTGTAGGATATTTCCTGTATACATTTTCCACAGAAAACATTGTATAAGTAATTTCTGCATCATACGGGAATGCTCAATGTGGAATATTTCAGAATTTCCTACGGAATCTTTCGTCTTAAGGCGCTTCTTACTGTTCACCGTCAACAGGGCAATCCAACGAACGGTCGCGAAGGAAATAAATATATGATCCTCCTGAGAATTTGAAGTGTGGCGATATAATTTTTGGAACTTTCATTTGAAGAAAACAGATCATGCATAAAAACGATATTAGCCAGTCCTGCATGTCCAAAAAATCAAGACACAATAAATTCCATCCCTATCATAAGAAATTAATACAGAAACTTGGAGGAAACGATTTTGAACAGAGAAGAGCAGTTTACGCAAAAAGTGGCACGCTTCATCTGAAAACAAATAACATTAAAAAAAAAAAACGTTTCCTCCGGGTTCCTGCAGTAATAGAATATAATAGGCATGACAAAGATTGCTTCTCAATATTTTGGTGATGCTGGATAACTAATTCCCTGCTTAAAATTGTTGGGCTAACGTGAGGATTTTTCTTCATTTATTATGAATTTCAGTCGTTCCAGCTTTCTTATACATAACTTTCCCGTTTTCATTGGATGAATTTTTCAGTCTTGAAGAAAACCACCTATTTAAAATATTATTTTTTCAAATCATAACTTAAAAAAAAAAAAAACTTTTACTGAATAAAAGTCAATTTTGCAACCTGAATGCGCCGTGAAGTTTAAGTTTATGGGAACGGGAGGCGCCACAGAAAAAGCGTATAAAGAGGAGACAAGAAAAAAAGCGGGGCTCTGGGCTGGTCCCTTAAAACGTTTGTCCGCCATTGCTCAATATTCAATTTTTATTTTTATTTTGTATTAAACAGATTGTTCAATTCAATTTGTGATTAGTTTGTGTGTCAAAAGGAGCATCCACAGGTCAGTTGAATAACTGTTATTTTGTTTTTGAGAGTTCATTTATTTATACAAGTATCATTTTTTTCATTTTAATGTTTTTTTGTTTGTTAATAACATTTTTCAAAACATGTGCATTGTTCATGTATTTAACAAAACTCGTTTCATGCTGTAAACAACACAGATAATAATATGATAATAACAAAACCTAGAAAAATTATGTACTGTCTTTTTGTGCTGGGATTTTGATTTTTGGATTTAGAGCACGTACATTAGAGCCTGGTTGAATTTACTTACATTTCCCTACCCTGACGAGCGAATATCCGAGCAAACAAATTGAAATAATCAATCTAGAGATATTGGCTCAAAAACAACTATGGCTGAGTAGCTTCCCGTATGGGACCTCAGTACCTGCTGGAAAACTGGCCACTAACCAAAAACTCTTCAGTATTGAATAAAGGTAATGTTGATTGAATGTGGTGTGTGGAATTAGAATTTTAGCACAAGGACAAAGACGGTAGCTAATTTAAACTATCATTGACTTAAATTATTGAATTAATGACTCACAATTATTATTAAAATGAGACAGTATGCTTCGATTTTTGAAGAATGTTCGATCGAGGGTTTCTCTGCCATTCTCTTTCCCCTCGAGAATTCCAGGTCGAGAACGGTACGTTTTTCTTCTGATAATAAAGGAGACGTTACACAAATTTTTCGTTTCTTTCACATATCACAGCTTCCCTTAAATTTCCCAAATATTTGATATATCGGGCGCATGTCCACTAAGTAAAATTGAGTAAGTTTCCACAACGTAGGTCCTATTTGTTATTCATTTAGTTTTTCAGATTTGTTGTTTAAAAGGTAATAAAAATTCACACCGTTCAATCTTGCTGAACGAACTCGGGTATATTATACTAGTCTATTAAATGCACAAATAGTCGAGATGCCTTTGCCTTGGTCGAAATAGCTCTTAGTGTAAATTCTTGAGGCTGCCAAAAAAGTGTTACCATCTCACTTCGATATAATAATTTATGTTGATTCTTTCTTGTTTTGTAGAAATCTTTTCTGACAACATGAACCGTAAATATCAAAAATTATAAGGGAATCACAACTAAATAATTCTACCAGTGGCGACTGGGGAGGGTAATTAAACCACAGCTGACGCTTCAAAAATGCAGACTAACAGAATTTATTCATAAGTAGGTACCTGATAACAATTTAAAAAAAAAAAAATAATTTTCTTCCTATGGATGTCCCATTTGAAAAGGTACAATAGGTACACATTTGTTTGGATCTAAATTTCGAAACAAGTGAGATAGTGGGCAGTATTCTATTATGGCACGTTTTTTTTTTTTCAAAACATTACACTTATAATTACTTAAACATGCATACAAAAATACACGACATATTATTTATTTCACAGAACAATTCGTGAGAAAAACGTGTCTAATTAATTACATGCAAATCAACAACACATTCAACTGGAGCCCCAGTTTTCAGTATACAAGATAAAGTAAAATAAAATGAGGGATGACGAAACGAAATCCATGCAAATTTTTTTCATTGTTTTATTTCATAAATTCAGAGCGACAACAGTTAAAACTATTCTCACAGATTCTATTCATGTCTTTGGTAACTTTATGCAACAACTTATATAGGTACACATTATTTAAAACTAGAATAAAATTATAGTTGTATGTAACTAGATTTTTCACATTAATATTTGAGAACTTTGTCCTTGTTTACAAAGAATTGGAAATTCCCTAAAAATACATATTCAACAAATAAAATAAAATCGAGAATACACCAACATTTTAATAATTTTTCGAAATTTTCTATAAAAATACAAAATCTTTAAAAATATATATAAATACCTAAATACTAAATATCTATGAATTTAATTTTCAAAAATAACTCAAAATAATCATTTTCACTTGTATCGGCCAAAAAGTTACCTACTTGGCATGTCCATTTATGCAATAAGTATTTATTTTATAATTTGGTTCATTGATTGAATTTATTGATTTTCAATAAAATATGTACTTTGATATGTTATATTGGTTTACATCTACTCAATTTCAACGCATAACGGTTCTGCTTTTTGGGTTTCGATTGAAAAACAGAGTAATTCATCAGCTCTAAGGATATTTCATTTAAATTTGCTGATTATTTTAAGCACTCAATAAATTATGTGCAGATATTTCTGCTTCATTGACAGTCAAGTAATAAAGTTTGTTACGAACATGGAGAGTATAAGAGGAAGGTCTCTCAATAGAATTTCCTCAAAATAACTAAAAACGCTTATACAGCTTTAGAAATTGACCACTTCATTAAGTTCCTGATTAAGCAGAAATATGAGTAGACGTTTGCACATACAATACAAAAATCGTTTTTTACCGTCCACAAAACAAATACAATCAAACTTGATTTTCAAGCGTTCACTTCCTAAACTATATTACCTACTTTGAAAAAAATATATACAACATTTTTGCATTGCCTCCCAAACGAAATTTATTACACATTTGCAATTATTTATTCTTACTCCATATAATCCATAACTTCATCTTTATCCTTATACCTTTTACTTCTAGCTACAGGCCTTCTGTTTCTATCATCACCATCCTCTTCACCAAGTATCTCTACATTTCTTACAGGCGCTTTTTTGTATTGGGGCGTGGATGCTGTAGCGGCTGGTTGAGATTCATCTTCTTCATCTAATGGCAAGGATGGATTCATTGCTAATTGTAACATCCGAAGCAGTAGCATTTCACGTACGTCTGGAGGCAGATATTCTTCAGATTGTGGTTCATCTATATAAAACACTAGATCGAATAAAAATTATTTTAACTTATAAATTAGTTCACCTTGTTGATAGACTGGATCTACCAGCTGATTCTGTCGTGTAGGTCTACTAGGCACCAACCTAGAACGTCTTCTATTGGTCAGATACACTGGTTGCCTTTCGTACGTTGTTGCCACACGTTTAGGATCCTCATTCTCTTCATCAATTTGCCTATATTGATATCTATATTTTGAATTGCTAGCCTCAACTTCTTGAGGTCGTACAGCAACATATTGTCGCGTAGAGCCACGTGGCTCTTGGTTTTGTTGTTCATAGTTTTGGGGCAAAACTCTTTGAACAAAATATGGTTGTGTAGCTGGTACTAACCTCTGATACCTTACCGGTTGTTGTTGTTGATAAAATTCGGGATGCAATTTTGGATTTGTTAGTGCACTTATCCTTTCCAGCCTTTTTTGACGAATAATTAAATGGTTCAACAGAATCTGAAAGTCTTTAGTACTTACAGGAGGCTCTATATTTTCAATTTCATTATCAACCTCATTGTTCACTGGTTGTCTTACTGGCTCTGGAGCAACTCTATAGGAAATTGAATAAGGAGTAGGAGCATGTGCAGACATTTCTCTTATAAATCCATTTCCGTCCACATGTACAGGAATTGGTCTTAAAGGTGGCTGATTTATAGTTTTTACATTTTGCCTTTCAACTTCCACTAGAGGAGCTCTAGTAGTCAACTGAGGAGGTTGTTGCTGGAATGCATATTGCCTTCTAGCATTATAAACGTCCTGCATGTTATCGACAGGCAAAATTCTATTTTGTAGTTGACTTAATGGTACTAAAATTGCTCCTGGCTGAAACGGGTGACGTACAGCCACAAGAGGTTCTGGTGTAACTGGCCTATTTGCAGGTATTTGAACCACAGGCACATTTGTTGATATGCTAGCAGGTTCAGTACTAGTCGCTTCTTGGAGCGGTTGAGTGTAGGTAGCGGTATTAGATTCTACTTCCTGTAATTGATTTCTTTGGTAATGAGCAACATATTTTGTTGTAGGCTTTGGTACTGCAATAGGAGCTGCTGTCGTACTTTGTATAAATGGAGATACTCTGTTAGATCTTGTAGTTGTGAATAGTGGACGCGAAGTTGCTCCACTATTGTAAATATCTGACACATCATTGTGACCTAGTGATTGTTGTAAGCTATAAATGTGTTCTTCGGCATTGAATGTTGATTGCTCACGGCCTTCTTTTGGTAATTGTCTTCGTAAAATATTAGATCTTATTTCATTACGTTCTTCAGTTACGGGTTTATCTTCTACGAGATTTTTTATTCTGAACACTGGAATTTCAGTTGGTTTTTCGTGAACATCAGGACGATTTATTTGTCCTTCTGATTTTGTTAAAGCTATTGACGGCCTTTGAAGTAATACTCTGGGTGAGGCTGATGCGTATGTTACTGTATTTGGCTTAGCAGTGGTTCTAATGGTTTCGATGGTGCTGTAACTGGGTTTTATTGTGGTACTACTAGCTCTTCTTCTTGCAATGCTTTGGATGACACTTAATGGAGTCGTTGTGGGAGTGCTTAATGTTGTAGAAGAAGGAGTTAATGATTTGTTTGTGGTTGAAACAAATTTTTCATTTTTCGCTATTCTTTGTACTACGTTTTGATGATTGGGAAACTCTGGAGTGGAAACAGGTTCATGCTTAGTGAATACATCAGTTGCATTGCTAGAACTATACGAAACCCTTTTGATTTCACCTCCATCGTCAAGAAATCCGTATGTACCTTTAATATTACCAAGCACGTCTCTACTTTCGATTTTAAATGAGCCGTCATCAGCCTCGTATCCTATAGTATAGGAACCATCGGGATTGACTTTTTTAATTCGTTTAATAATTTCTAATTTGCCGTCTTTTGTTTCGGATTCTACGAGTTCTTCTTCTTCGATTTTATCGCTTTGCGTTTCTGTTCTGGTATTGGATTCTTCGCAGAATATATTATTTATTAGAGATGTAATAAATAAGGCTAGCAGAATCTGAAACAAAAAATAACTAGATAGGATTTAGGATGTTTTTGCTATAATTTATACATGGTTGGTTAATTAGGTTTTTCTCAATACTTGATATGACAAATAGTAATGTGTTTATGTATCTCCTCATTGGTGATTTTCTTATTATTAACCTAAGTGTTTGACTTATACAGTAAAAGCCACGGTTTTATTTGTAAACAGAATTGCTAAATCACCGTTACTTCGGTGGGTACATGTGGAGCGTTTTACCTTCGTCATTTCACGCTTGACATTACAAAAACACGATTTTTTAGAAATAATGTGACTTCTTACAAATTTTTACTATTGTACTGTTAATTATGTTTTTGTTTCACAGTGGAAATGTATTTTTATATAACATCTGTGGGTATATTGAATTAGATGTGACGGAAATACTTAACGTTTTTCAAGCAAAGATTAATAAATAAAAGCTCACTACCTCTCCATGTTTTAGTGGGTCAATTTGTGTTACTCGAGCCAATTTTTGTTGTACGAACTTAGGAAAATGCACAGTCTAAGAAAATGTTGAAGGATTCCGCTTATAAATCCATGGACAATGTTTATTTACTTTATCTAACCGATGTCGTCTTGTGACAAATACATGGTGGACAAGAAGTTCATTCCTGTCCACCAAAAAAATGTAAACCTTAGATATAGTGAAGAAACTATAGTGCACTTTTTTTAAATACCAAAATGTTTGAATATAGACCAATAATAAGTCGGCTTTGTCTTATCGAGATGAAAAAAGAATCGAATTGTTCGCAATGAAATTCTCTATAAAACTACTTTGGTCCAATAGTCCAATTTGCTTATATGCAATATATCAGTGACCGGCAAAGAGTTTGCAACCAATAAGAAATGTCTTTATTATTCAAGCATATCCAAATAAATATTGGCTTAATTAAACTCAGAGTAAAGGAATGGATCATTTAGAAAGATTTTGAAGTAATTTTAAATTTGGCACTTCAAGTTTTTGTTTTACGTTATTGCAACAAGGTTAATGGTCTAAAAATAAATATCTTCATTCTTGTACAACTTTTTTGGGAAAAATGAAGCAAAATTATCTAAAATTTTGCTGCAAAACATTGAGGAGATTCACCCCAGATAGATGGTTAGTTTAGCCAATGTTGGAAGATTTTTCCAAATAAATTATCATGCAGATAACATACTTACCTTTTAAAATTAAAGTAACATTGCAATAATAATACGTAAAGGCTAGGTACCTTTATCTTTAAAGTTATTCTTTCAAGGATCTGTAGAATATAGGATTTGATAACTTAGACTTGAGGATACCTAATAAAATAATTTTCTCAAAGGTAAAAGTCAAATGATAAATAAATAAGCTAATTAACCCACAAATGCCCACCAAAAAAAAAAAAAGAAACATGCAGAATGTATCTAGCCCAAATGATCCTTTGGTTTCACCTTCTGTACCTCTTTTAACACACAAAACATCGTGATAACATAATCCAACATAAATCACAATAAACTAAGGGTACCACCCACGCACGAAACTCACCTTCGCAGCAAAAGCCATAATATCTCATTTCATTAAAAAGGCAGTTACCACTGACTAACAAAAGTACCACGCCGGGTACCTATATAACTTGGGGGGATTCTTCAGAATGCAAAGACGCCTAGTATAGTGGGAGATGATTGACTGACGACCTTGCCAAAAGCTCTCTCATCAGAAATAGTTCTGTTATGTTTTTTTTTAAAAACAGAAGCAAGAGTGATAAATCAAGAAGTAATTTCTGGTTCTGATTGTTATCATTTAGGCATTGACTCATCTTATATCTGAAAATTAACAAAGTAATTTTTAAAAAAAAATCAATTTTCATTGTCTTTTTCTTGGTAAGTATCTGATATGTGAGATTTCCCATCCAGGTAGTAGGATTTGTCATACTGGGTATGGACGACATAAAAATTAGAACTCACATACTCATTGATTTTTTTTTTTTCTAAATACTTAAACTGTTGAATTTTTTCGTGGTGTCTTATGACGCCTAATGTACCTATACCTAATTGCACTTAGTGAAAGTCAGTCGAGATATAAGCAATTACACACCTGGGTAGTGATTTTGCTTGGATAATGATGATAATATTGTTTATTCATATTGTAGTATCTTGAATACAATCTAAAAACAGAGAAGCTTCAGCTTTAATGATAAGGTTTAACAACTTCCACGTTAATAAAAAAAAAATAATGCTGTAACTTTATTACTTCTAATTAGGCTAAATTTAATATACCCATTTTTTTTGGATACGTTTGAATTTTTGTGTGCAAAGGCCAGATTTTATCTCAAAAAGTATAAGAAACGGATTAAAAATAATAGATACCAACTGCGTGGGAAATGGTCCAAGTACCAATGGTTTGCAACGTTAAATGATTAAAGACTTGTTTTAAAGAATAGATTTTGAAACAGTTGCAATTTAAGGTTGTTGTTTATTCACTAAAATGAGTTGAAGGTTAGTTTGAAATTGTTAACTGAACAAATGAAAGCAAAACCATCTATTGTTGTGGAGTCAAGTGGTACAGTGGGAATCATTGCAATTGGCACACACTCTTTAAAATCCCTCGTATTAAGTCAAAATTCCAACCAATAAATCTATTTAGTGCAGCATTTTGCTATTACTGTGTGTCAGATTTGACACATTACGAGGGATATTTATATAGTGTGTGCCAATTGCAATGATTCCCACTGTACTTTCACAGTCAAATATAACGCAAATGGTTCCTTTTATGAAAAACAATTAGAATGAACCATGACAAAATTGAAAGACATGCAGGATATATCAAAGTCTTGAATGGAATGTTTCCAATTATTGAATAAATAGAGAGTAAAATTTCCCAAGGAAGTATACAATACATAATGTTTTTATTGGATTATACGCTGTTTGCAGTTCTCACCATATATGATTATATCACAATGCCATATTCACTTTTCATTAAATTTATTCAAATCTATTCCATCATAATTGGAGTTTGACTGTGTGCCGTGTGGAAAATGTTTTATCCGCTTCAAACAATCAATACACGATGGGCCAATAAAGTGACATTTTTATTTTTCAATGACCAATATTGTCGCCAAGTGTGAATTGAGATGCGTGAGATGTGGCCACAAGAAAAAGTCGAGTAGTGAAGTTAAATCGTACGATCTGGGAGAAAAAGGAATATTTGTATGTCTGCCTATAACCCTATCATAATATTCGTGAAGCATACAGATCCAAAGTCTCTGGTGTGCAATGAGATGTTGCTCCATCTTGCTGAAAGTAGCCTGGCTGAGGTTCTTCATCATGCAATGCAACTCCTACAAAAATGGTTGGAGGATATTCTCCTAATAGCAGAGTGCATTGATATTTCCTTAGAATTCACAGATTTGGTTATGATATTAACCAGAAGAATAAAAACAAAATTAGTTACCTACCTTAAAAAAAATATGCGTTAAATTATTAGACTTTTTCAGGATGCAAATGCGTTTCAAGTAACGCATGAGGGTTTTTTATACTCGTATATTCTGTGAGTTTACGCAGACAGTTTTGTAAAACCATGCTTCAACGAGAAAAAAATGTTAATGCAAGAAAATGTGGATTACCGTAAATGTACCCTTAGCAATAAACCATACGCAGAGGTTTCAACTCTCCCAATGCTGTCATCCTATAGGGATGAAGTTCTAGATATTTTTTGAAATGGTATGACATGTCCCCAAGGAGAGACCTACTTGTTGGGGTTGATTTTGGGGTGATATCAGGTGATGGACGGCTATTGCCATTTTTACGTGCCACGCTTCCCGTTTCCCAGAACAATTGCACTAAGAGTTTCTATGAAAAAAATTATGGTCCACAACTTCATTAACTTGCTACGGACAGCCACTACGAGCGGATTTAATTGAATAAGCCACACCCCATTAACTTTTTTGCTATTACGCAAATGGGCTTCCGCCAAAAATTATCTTGTTCTAGCGTATAATCATTTATAGGTCACGTGAAAAATCTAGATAGATAATGCAGCCTGAAGTCCAGTAAAAACACTTTTAGGTTCTGAGAAAAACTAATTGGAATTTCTTTTTTTAAACCAAGTACATAACCATGGAACAAGAGACCAGAATACTTATACCATATACAAAATATACAGGCTGTCAATTTGAAAACTTTCAATGCGAATATCTCTGAAAGTAAAAAAGTTAGGAAAACGTAATTTGGTACAAAGGTTATACAGGTAGTGATGGGAACTTGAACCACCATATTCTGGTTATAATGATCCCTTGGGCACCATGTACCTCAACTCCAATATTTTAAATGGTACCACCCCTGTTGTGATACCTAAACTTAAATATTTTTTGAAAAAAATCTTTTGCAGGTGAATACTATACTCAAAAATATTCAATTTTAAGTATCACAAAAGGGGTGGTGCCATTCAAAATTTTGAAGTTGGGGTGCATGGGGCCCAAGGGGTAACTCACCCCATAACCAAAATATGGTGGTTCTAGTTCCCTCTACCTGTATAATATTTGTACCAAATTAAGTTTCTTTAACTTTTCACTTCCAGAGATATTCGCATTGAAAGTTTTCAAATTGACACCCTGTATACAAGTTCTAATATTGGTCAAAATAATAAGTATCGGTTTACAGCACTGCAAGATAAATACCCATTACCAAGGATCGATGACCTCCTAGACTCTCTCAAAGGTCACATCTATTTTACGACCCTAGATCTAACATCTGGATACCATCAGATCCTATTGAATGAAAAGTCAATTGAAGACTGCGTTTGTAACACTAGATGGACACTACGAGTTCCTGCAAATGCCATTTGGATTTGTAAATGCTCCTGCGGTTTTTCAGAAAACAATAAATCAAGTCTTGGGCTCATTGCGATTCGAAATCGCTGGGGCATATTTGAACGACGTATTAATACCGTCAATATCAAAAGCTGAAACAGATACTAAATATCTTTAGAGAAGCCGGTTTTACACGTACTTAGGTTAAATAAGTGCTATTTCCTTGAAGAGAACATAAAATATTTAGGACATGAAGTATTTAATATCGGTATGCGTCCTGGTGTGGATAAAATTGAAGCCGTGGCTGAATTTCCAACACCCAATAACGTTCATGGTGTTAGAATATTTTTGAGACTAGCTAGTTATTTCAGAAAATTTATAAATGATTCGCTTCCATTGCCAGGACAATTTCTTTACTTACCAAGAAAAACTCTGTGTTTGCCTGGAATATGGAACAGAGCAGAAAATTGCTTTTGAGGACTTAAAGAAAAAGCTTGTAGAGAGACCCATACTGGCAATATACAACAGGGAGGCTGAAACCCAAGTCCACTATAACGCTAGCAGAATAGGATTGGGAGCAATACTATTTCAAAAACAAAGCGATAATAATCTGAAACCCATTCAATACTTCAGCCGAGCCACTACTCAAGCCGAAAAGAAGTATCACTCTTATGAGTTGGAAACATTAGCATTAATGATGGTCCTCAAAAAGTTCAGAAGTTACCTCATAGGGAGTAAATTTAAAGTTGTCACAGACTGCAATTCACTCCGCCACAGATTAATGAAAAAATATTTATTCCCACATATTGCTTGATGGTGGCTTTCCATGCAGGAGTTCGATTTTGACATCGAATATCGCCCATGAACCAAAATGGCGCATGTGGATGCTTTGATCAGGATCAGAGGTCCAATTCAAAACATTGACGTTATGAATGTTAATGTATCCGAGGAGAATTGGGTATTGTCTGCACAACTCCAAGATGAACATTGTCACTTCCTAATAAAGGCGCTATCACGAAAACCGTCAGCGTCAGATGATGGTGAGTCCAAAGGAATCTGTAAGAATTATTGCCTACAAGATATAAGCGGTTATACAGAATTACAAATGGTAGACGGAAATGGGTAGTACCGAAATCATCAACTATCGCTACATATTACCATGATGGAGCTGGTCACTTTGCAATAGACAGAACGTTGGAAGCTATAAGTGCACGTTATTGGTTTCCAGAAATGAGAAATTATGTGAAGAACTATATACGATCCTGTTTAGGGTGTCTATATAATAAAAGGCCATCCGGTAAACAGCCTGGAAATCTAAATCCAATCGAAAAATTAAGTCTGCCCATGGACACACTACACATCGATCACGTCGGGCTGTTTGTTAAAAGCGTTAGATTAGAAAAAATGCATATTTGAAAGTTGTGATAGAGGCATTTATCAAATTCGTATTTCTGAAAGCAGTAGCAAGTACAAAAATATTACCAGTGTTACGTTTCCTGGAATACATCACTGACATGTTTGGAGTTCCAAGAAGATTGATTTGCGATCGTGGAACAGCGGTTACAAGCAACCGTTTCACGGACTTTTGTCATTCGTTAGGTATTAAACGTGTTCTATGTGCGATCGCTACACCTAGAGCTAATGGGCAAGTGGAGGAGATGAATCGCTCAATTCTGTCGGCCCTAATGGCTTCTATCAAAGATGAGTCCCGATGTAAAGTTAGGTGGGGAATTAATTCAATGGCTAATTTCACAACTGGAAAATCGCCTTACGAAATTTTCTTTGGTTACTGCCTACGTGGCGTTAATGACTCTTCTCTTGCTTCAGCTGTCGCATGCGAAGAACGGCAAGACCTTGATGCAATGCCTAAAAAGGTGGTTGAGGTTACTCGAAAACAGAAAAAGATGCAAAAAAAGTATTATGATGAGAGGCATGCCCCAGTTAGGAAATACGTATCTAGTTGGCCAACAAGTGTTGGTTCATGCAAGTAAGGTCTCCAATGAGGGAAGGAGTAGAACGCTTGAACCTAGGTATAAAGGTCCTTTTTCTGTGTCAAAGGTAATTGCAAGGGTCGAAGCGCTGTAGGACTGCTTATACGGGCATTTGTCCTTTAGACAGCATGAAACTTCATGTTACGACAGTTACTGATAATGACATTAGTGACGATTACCCAGTAGACGAATAATGTGTTTCGTGTCTGACTCTAATTCTAGTGTATTATAACTAATTTTGTTTTGTGTTTTTTTTGTAGTTAGAACCATAACTTCACGGGGTCTTGAAGTGTTATCAGGTAGGCAGCACGTTTCACAGACAGGGATGTTTTGAAGAACAAGGGACAACGGACCCTTTGTTGCATGGCACAGGTGGTAACGTTACGCGAAGCAACTGGTCAACACGACAAAAACACGCTCTCGAGTATTTTCTTATTGTCTATTACTATAATAATAATTTTGTTAAATAAACTATATTTCTTGTCTTGAATAAACTATCTTTAATTTACAATTATTATTAATGTGTCTAATCCTACATTATTAACCCGAAAGAGAAGGCATCAGCATCCACCGACGTTCATTAGAAACAATAATTGGGCAATATCCGCAACAAAAAAAAAAAGGGCAAATTAACTCATAATAGTCAACAAACTAATTCCCAAATTAACACCTAAAACAATGTATTCCATAGAATCAAATTGGCGTTGCGTAAATGGTGGACAAATTAAATGGACTTTTAAGTTAATAAACAAAGCGACTACCAGAGTTGGACTTGTGACTAATGTCAATGGGGCAACCCGACTAAAATATTCGCAAGATTGCGGTACTTTTGGTTATACCGGAAATAGACGTCAACTAACTTATTTGTGTTGGACACCCAATATTATTATGTTATTTTATTTTTGGCTTCTGATCAAGATTCTTCTTAAGTATAAACCAAAAATTAAATACTATATAGGGTCTCATTTAAAATAAGCATTTGAAATCTACTTCTAATATAATCCAATGAACTGTTTATGATGGAAAAAAAAAATTAGGCAAAAAGTTTTTTTCTTTAATGTCCAAAACTATCCAGTATCAGATCGATCCGGCTCTGTTTCCAAAATCAACAAAATGAAGGACGCTTCAGATATACAAATAGCGCTACTAGGCATCTTTAACACAACGAAAATAGCCTGAGAAACGACCCATATTCAACAAGAATACAAGAATGGCTGCATTTGAATGCAAAAACGAAATTTTGTTTGGACATAATGCAATTAGCGAAATATTCAACACATATTGTTGTTAAAGTGACATATTTTTTTCTAGTGTCTATTGTATATTTTTGTTATGACCTATTGTTGCCGAAACGTTTGAAAATTCAACAAAGTGATGTAAACTTAGGATAATTTTAATTTAATTTCAAGTTTATAATGAAACGACCAAATAAATAAATAAATATGTCTTGGTTTATTTGCAGGTACAATATTTAACAAACATCTATTCCAATACAGAATCTAATCTAGATGGTTCCTCAACATCGACATCTTCTAACTCATAAAGAGAACCTTCTTTTTCAGGTTCATTCCAATACTGCACGGAACCACTTCCCCAAATCATGAAAAATATGGATGTAAAAAGCAAAATAGCTGTTGAAATACCAAAAACTAATCGCCACCAACCTGCAAACTAAAGATAAATGTAGGTAATTGTTTACCAAAATTTGCACTACTTAATAAAGATTTCCACTATTTTCACTTACGTGCTATTGCACTACTTCCTCTCGATATATTTGATACAATAAGAAAAACAATGAGCATGCTATTAGCCAATTTTGTAAAGAATGCGTTACACATATTACTTTACGAAACATTTTGTGATCTAAATAAGTGATAATGGACGTTAAGTGTTTTTAATGCATGAAGTATGTTACAGTTTTTGTCTTCACGAAATCTGTAAGTTTTATGTATAGCCTATAAAACAAAAGTGAATTAGTTGAAACCGCTTTCCTACTAATTTTAATTGCAGAATCATAATAAAAATTTAATGATCAGTTATCTTGCAGTTTATGATTACTATTTGAGCTCGAGAAATGATAATTAAAATTATAGAAACAAAATATTAGGTAACAGGAAAAGAAACTAGGTGTATTTTTCAATGTACGCATAATATGATATTTTGTGCTAAAGACAATTATTTCGAATAATTTTGTTATACTATTACCGATCCATGCAGTCCTTCCGAAACGGCATAATTTGCAGCTAAGAGCCCTGCGGCTCCTACAGTTTGGCAAAGTCCAAAAACAGTACCTGGAAAATTCACAAAGATAGTATAACTTTGAAAAAACTAACAACTATATCATAACATTTTCGCACTTCCTAGAAAGTGAGCTTCTACTGTTTAACAATTCGAGTTAATTTCTTGAAAAAAATATTTGTTATCACCTGCAAAATTAGGTGCAATATCAGCAGCACTTGAAAATACTCCAGCTGGTGTCGCTCCGGTCATAGCTAAAGCAGCAACATACATTGCAGCAGGAGCTGCAGGATCGCATCCAGTATACCCAAGGACGAACATCAAGGCAGCTGGGGGAAAATGAGCTATAAGAAAAAATAAATTAATATAATTTACAGATAAAAAGCACAGAGGAAAAGCATTAATAAAATAACGAAAAATATGAATAAGATATCAATGTCATTATTCATCTAGGAAGAGAATTATTACTTCGTATTAGAGAAATGAATTAGATAAATAATAGTGATTTCTTAAACTAAACTATATGCTCATTATGCTCAGTAAAAAGTCAATTTTAGTGTACAAGAGGATACGCAACACAAATCGGCATTTTGTAATTTATTTGATCTATAGAATTTTATATTTGAACTATCAAAAAGTATCTCGTGACATTTCCAAGGAGAATTTTATTCATACCCGTTGCCTAACTTTCAAGCAACAGTGGGCTCCATGGCACTCATTGCTGGTCGAAATAGAAATACATAGTGGTTGCACTGGATTGTTCCAGCAAGTGGTCTGAAGTTTTTGCTATTCCAAACCAAGAAGCATATACATTTGCTGGCAAAAGTTTGGCACCGTGTTTATATTGCAAATAATTTGCATGAAAATTTACCAGGAAGAGACGCTGTAGAATCACTAAATATGTTAGATTGAACAAATGCGATCTCTGACACGAATTCTATCAGTAAGGAGTTTCCAACTTTATTCGAAGGCATCGGAGATGTAGGAGAAACGTATCACATTACTTTAAAAGAAGGAACGGAGTTGTTTACAATTTCTATGTCACGTAGAATTCCTATCCATTTGCGAGAAGCTACATTTTAACATCTTAGAAAGCTGATCAATTATCTACAAGGTTAAAGAGACAACCTCTTGGTGTGCAGCAATGGTCGTAGTGCCCAAAAAGGATGGCACGGTCAGAACATGCGTAGTTCTCAACAAAAATGTGTATCGAGAAAGATTAGTATTACCGAATGTTGAAGAAGCTTTATCCCAAATTGCGGCAGGCTCTCAGCATTTTAGCAAACTAGAGGTCACATCTGGATTCTACCACATTCCTCTGTATAAGGAATCACTTCGGCAACAGAAGGGTTTCAAAGGCAAATGTTATAGATTTTGGAAGGACTAAAGGGAGTAGTCAATGTAGCAGAGGAGAATAGTATTTGGTAAGAACAAGGATGAACACGACTCTCGTTTGAAGGCCGTGCTAACACGTTTCCAAGAAAAAAATATTAAACTTAATAGAAACAAATGCGAATTTGGCAAGAAAAAAGTGACATTTCTAGGCCATAGTCTGTCAGATTCAAGAATTGAGATCGATGAAGAGATAATTCGAGCCATTTTAGACATGCAACTTCTCAACGATATAAGCTGAGTTAGAAAACTGATGGGCTGCATACAAGTTACACTAAATTCCTTCCAGGATTAGCGAAAATGTCCGACCCCCTGTTACGAAAAAAAAACGACGAATTTATGTGGGCAGAGCTGCAACCACGAGCATTTGAAAGTATAAAAAAAGCTCTTACGACAGCTCCAATTTTAGCACATTTTGCTCCAGGATGTCCAACAAGAGTCATAGCGGATGCCAGTTCATATGGATTGGCAGCAGTCCTGGAACAAATGGATAAAGATGTCTAGAAACCTATCGACTATACAGCTAGGACAATGTCCGACACAGAGAAACGATATGCGCAGATAGAGTGAGAAACATTGTCTTTGACTTGGGCCTGCGAAAAATTCGCACAATACCTTCTTGGTCAAACATTTATACTGACCACAAACCCCTAGTGGAACTTGTAGGAAGCAAACAATTAGCTGATCTATCAGCTAGAATCCAAAGATTCCGAATGAGATTGATGCGATTTTCGTATGATGTACAGTATATTCCTGGCAGAAACATGATAATCTCTGACGTATTACGTATTATCCAGAGTTCCGCTAAAATCCAGTAATCATAGAGCAGATATTTTATTCGTCAATGAACTCGTAGAAAAAGTGGAAGATTTTGCAAATCATATTCGTGAATCAATGCCTATCAAGGTATCTGCAAAGGTAGCAGTACTGAGTGCGTATTCTGTAACGCCATAGACATAGAAAATTCTTTCTAGTCAAGAAATTTCTTTCTATTATCACAAAACCTTATTCTGTATGCTAGTTCGGTAGCACTCGAGTCCCGTTCGGTGTTCGGTCGGCATAGAGAAATAGAAACACCCGTTTAGGTCTTTCTGTAATGGAAAAATTGTTTCTATCTTTTTCTAACACATTATCGTGAAACGTTCAATTTCTGTCAGAGTTTATGTTTTGTTTATTAGTGGTTATGTTTTGTAGTTTTGTCAAAGGTTTTGTCATATTTTAAATAGTTCTGTTTTACTAATTTCGTATTTGGGAAGTAAAATAACCACCTTTAATATTTCCCTTTCCCTAAAATGTTATTTTAGCCTTAGCATTTAGTAAAAATACTGTGGTAAAATAGCACAAATCACAAAAGGGTACGTGGTGGGTACCATCGCTACACCGTATCACTCCCGGAAATCCGAATTGGGCCATGAGTTCCTCTTTCTTAAGCTGCTTCTCAGCCTCGGTTAGGGGAAATTTAACCCACTGAGGAGCAATGGCCTCTAGAGCCAAACATACTCCATCTAATGCCCTGCTAAATGTGGACTGAGATAAACATGTATTGAACTTGTCTCCCACCGCCTTCTGATCGGAGCCTCGAGCGAAAAATCTTAGAACACCCAATACTCTAATTTGAATTAAGATTCTTCCGGCTCTAACCACAGGAGCTATGTGTGAAGTGAGGTGGAAATACCTCCGGAATTCCCTTTCGAGGGAAAGGCATTATACTCATCTCGCAAGGTTATCCTTTCCAATCTTAATTGTTCTTGACGCTCTTCTTCTTCCACCTCGTCCACAAAATGCATGAATATAGAGTCCATAATGGCTTATATCAAATAAAAAATAATCAATAACAATGTGATATTAACATTGAAGAGTTAATAACAACTGACAATTTAAAACCCCACAAATAGTTATTTATACACCAAGTGAGTTAAATGAATGTTTATTCATGAGAAGAAAGTTTAACCCACGAGCCCTAGCGAGTGGGTTAATTTTCTTCGAATGAATAAACATTTTAACTCACGCGATGTATACAAAATTTTATTCCATTTTGTGGAAATTTAAAAGATAAAGTACAAAGAAAAATGCCGGGAGTGAGTTAAAAATATTTTAAATCACTGAAGCTTCAGATTTTTAATTGGGCAGAGTGACTTAAAATGCCGAGAGTGAGTTAAAATGTTTTTAAATCACTGAGATGATAAACGTCTACTTACCTTTATTGTTATGCGTTCAATAATGTCATTTTTAAACGTCAAAATGGGATAAAATAATGAAACTCTATAGGAAAGCGCAATGTTTTCACGTCGGATAGTTTACGATATTTCTATTTCGACTTCACCCGAATCAACTTGGAAAGGTGGTTACAGAATTAGTTTTTTATATTTCCTGTCTATGTCTATCTCTTCTCTATGTCTATTTCTATTCGTTTACAGAATACGCCTCCTGAGCGGCTGAAAAGCCGAAGCGACTCCCCCTATCAAGGACATGCGCATAAAAAGTATCTATCTTGGAATGTCAAAAGAATGATGTCCAAACCAAAAGAATAATTAATACCTTACATACAAAATGGTTGGCCACACATTGAGGATTTACCAACCGAAGATAAAATTTTCTACCAATATCGAGGAGAGATGGTTATATTGGATGGCTTAGTAACCTGCAACAACAGAGTATTCATCCCGACGACATAACGCAAGGAAATATTGGACAAAATACACGAAGGTCATTTGTGCATGACGAAATGTTTAAGCCTAGCCAATGAAACGGTGTGATGGCCCAAAATCTACCCCTGTGCCAGATTACCCCTGGCAGATCGTCGGAGTTGATTTATTCGTAACCAACAACAAACATTATCTGATGGCAGTCGATTATTTCTCAAGATCTATAAAGGTTAACAACTTAAATTCAGAAACTGCTATAAATGTCATAACGAAACTGATATCGATGTTGTCAAGATGAGGAATACCAGAGACCATTAGATCAAATAATGGGCATTGTTTTTCTAGTCACATATTCAAACAATTTGCTCAGACATATGGATTCAGTCACATCACAAGCAGTCCTAGGTATCGTCTGCCCATTTGCAGGCGGAATCCGCTGTAAAAACAGCCAAGAATATAATTCTAAAATGCAAGGACCCAAACTTATGACTGTTAAGTCATAGAACAGCAAAACTAGAGGGTGGATCATGGGAAGAAAACCTTAGGACTTAGGACTTATAGCTCCGAAACTCCAAACATTCCATAATATCTGAGCCAGGCTCCGAGGAGAAGACCGAAATCTATAACTCCACTCACCAGAGATGCACCACCAGATCAGGAAAACTAGTCAAGCCGGCACGTCGTTGCACCTGCAATGGAATGTGTGGTCAAGATTAGTTAAAACAAAAGTGAGAATGAACATTGTACAATGTATATAGTGAATTATCCATAACATTAATATACCCAGTGTAAATAGGACAAACAGTGGTTTAAGGTAGGCGTTTTGAATTCGACTCGAGTGCTCAGTTAAAAAGACACTCACTTGGTGAAAAGAGAGGATCTGGCATAGAGTACTTGAACCGGCAACGCCGTTCGAGAGTCGGGATAGCAGCCCTCGGCGCAGGGCCTAGCAGTTGATATCAGGTAAGCGTGCCACAGGCTGCTACACAAAATTTCTTAAACCTAACCTAACGGTTAATATTATTGTTTATTCCTACACCTCAAAATCGAAAATGACTCATGTCACACATAGAATCGCAAATTATCGGAAGCCTATTCGGGATATTTTCGTTTGGAACGCTTGCGTTAAAGCGGCACGTGAAACCCCGTAATGTTACGTAGGCACGCAAACCCAAACGTAATGAGAATCAATGTGCGCATGCGTACCTGTCAATTCACACGTTTATGTTAACGTTGGAGAGAGCACTTGAACTGCCTAATAACTAAAGAAAAGTAAGTCAGCAGGTACTGACCGCATTCCTGCTGAATTCTTTAAACAAGAAGGAGGCCCTACACCAAGAAGTGCCCAAACCCACTGCCATTATTATAAGGGGAACATGGCCATTTTTATAAAGGGAAACATGGCTGATTGTGCAAACTACAGAGGAATATCTTTACTTTCTGTTGCAGGAAAGATACTTGCCAGAATATTGTCAAATCGTCTAATCCCAATGCCCAAACAGAACCTCCCAGAGACACAGTGTGGCTTTAGACCCAATCGAGATACAGCTGACATGATTTTTAGTGCAAGACAAATGCAAGAGAAATCCAGAGAACAAAATTGCCCTCTATACATGGCCTTGATAGATTTAGTGAGAGCATTTGATTCGGTCAACAAGAAGCTTTTTAAAAGATATTGGCAAAGGTTGGGTGTCCGCAAAAGTACATCCAGATACTCCACCTGCTGCATTATAATATGAATGCAACCGTCCTAAGCAACGATTGACAAAGAACATCTTTCCAAATCACTACAGGCGTTAAACAGGACCGTGTTATTACACCCAATCTATTTTCTATGTTTATAGGATCCAAACTTCACCTTGTTGAGGGTCACCTGCCGTCAGGAGTGGAAATCCTGTACAGACTTGATGGTGGCTTATTCAACCTAAACAGATTACGAGCCGAGATGAAAGTATCGACGACATCGATAATTGAACTTCAAAATGTGGATGATGTCGTGATTCCCAATACACAGGAAGATCTTCAGGCAATTATCAATGCCTTCAACCAGGCATACAGGAAAATCAGCCTAGAAGTCAACTTTAACAAGTTGCATATCCTGCACCAACCCGCATCGGGCACTTATCCCCAAGCCCCAAATATAACTAAATGACCATTCCTTGTAGAACGTAGAACACTACCTATACCTTGGGAAGCATCTGGCAGCAAATGCAACAATTGACGCTGAAGTCCAACATCGCTTAAAGTGTGCAAGCGCAGCGTTCGGGCGACTTCTAAAAAGAGTCTTCAACAATCACTACATCAGCGCTGGAGACCAAACTTCGCGTCTACAATGCAGTTGTAATACCAACACTTCTGGCTGCCAAACATGGACCACCTACAGAAGACACATAAAAAGCCTAAAAAAATACCACCTAAGAAGGATTCTTCGGATTCAATGACAAGACCGACGAACGAACATTAGTGTTTTAGAGGAGGCCAAAACAACTAGCATGGAAGCCCTCATCATTAAGCACCAACTTCACTGCCCAGGTCACCTCGTCCGCATGCTCGAAACACGTCTTCCACGACAGATTCTCCACAGTCAACTGAAAGAGGGAAAACGGAATCAAGGAGGGCAACAAAAACGCTACAAAGATGTTCTTAAGGAAAATATGGCAAAGTGCTGCATCGATACCATGCAGCAACTGGGAGATGTCGGCAAATGATAGGCCCTCATGGCGTCGAGTAGTCCACGACGGACCACAAAATTTTGAAGAACAGAAACGAAGACACGAGACCGAAAAGAGAGACCGCAGAAAGGAGCAAGAGTAATAGAGGAAGAGGCAATGCTGCCAGGAGCTAGTCTTTGTGTGGTGGTATTTTAAACGAAAAGATCTAATCCAAGGATTGAATTGAAACTAACCCTTCCTAATAATCTTTAAGAAAAAAAAAATAAAAACCTTCTGGAAGCGCAGAGAGGCCACCTATCCCAGGACGGGTTAGTTTCAATTGAATACTTGGATTAGCTCTTTTCATCTTAAACAGAGGCTCGCATTCATTACAGAGGGACGGGTTAGTATGGATTAGCTCTTTTCGTCTAAAATACCTACCAATATAAATAGACAAGCACTCATTACGATATATTTGGCAACGGTGTCTCGAGCTCTTCCGATTGCTACGACTAGACTTTTGAAATGCTACCAGTGTGTATCTCAAAAATGTTAGGTGTTGCGGGGGTGAAAATTGAAGCATAATGAGGCAGGACCATAGGTACACAAGCAGGAACATGTTTGAGCGATCCGAGACACGAAAAGAGAGACCGCAGAAAGGAGCAAGAGTAATAGAGGAAGAGGTAATGCTGCCAGGAGCTGGGTATTTCAAGACAGGAGATAATCATTCATACTCGGTATCTAGTGATCGCCTATGATAATGATATTGAACTGGTCAGACTTCGGAAACGATGTAGTCTATAAATAGCGCCTAGTAAGTAGTCATTTGGAGGGCAATTCAAATAGGAGACTTTTGTTGAGTTCCTACGTTCCAATAAATGATTTTCATAAAGTCGCAACTCTCTAGTGAACCCGTACTCCGTGACAACATTTTTAAGTTGGATGAATTACTTACACATGTAAACAAATAATTTCCTTGCAGTCGTTGTAGATACTATGCCGGACTCCCTAACATGGTCAACAACTATTCCGAATGTTATTGCAGCAAAAAAGTGTCCTATGTGTGGCATGGATTGCAAGATATCGGCCTAAATAATAAAAAAGAAATATGTTTCACAAATTTTTCAAAATTATTCCATTTCATACATATTCAATTGAGAATCCGTAAACCAATTTTAAATATTTGGTAACTCCTAACATAAGGGTTGCGTCAGCCCACTGGCTGCCAACTACAGCCACTCCACATGCCCAAGCTGGCTTCGACGCCAGCAATTTCCTCCATGGTAAATTTCTGTGTTCCTGAGGCAATGATTAAGTATTTTATAGGAACCTATCTAAAGATCAATTTGTACATTCGCCAAGATATCAAGAGAGTATGTTTAGGAACAATGAAATTTTGGCAATATATTTGATTTTAAATAGTATAAAAGTAAATTGTTAACTTAGTTCAAATTATCAGATTTTTGCCACTTTCTGCTCATTCAAACATTTAAAAACTGGATGTAATATTTACATCTCTTTTGGGCCTATTAGGATGCAAAGACTCTTCCACAAACCTCCACCATAAAAAATACCAGATTCCAGAGATAACTGATATTACATAGCTCAACCAATCACGTCCCAGTTTTCTCACCAGCAGGGTTCCTAATATGCCTACTACAGAATATCCTAGATTAACGGCTGGAAAAATACATAGTTTTGTTTAAAAAAACAACATTGCGTAAATCAAATTTTACTCACCAGAATATAAAGACACAAATGCACTTATATTTTTAGGTTTAATCCAAGTCACTGCTAACATATGGGCTGCTGGCCATGTGGCCCCCTGAAAATAAATAATAGATATTCAAATGTTGCTTGCTCCAGTCTCGTACTAGACATGGAAAGTTCTCTGGCTTAACAAATTGCATGTTGTTTACTGGCGGAAACAAGTCAGTACCTACCTAAGTTTCAGTACTGACTTCAAGAAAGAATTTATTAAAAAAACTTGTCCTGATGTATCCGGGAAAAGCAACTGTCTTAATTGGGTTTATTCACGTCAAAGTGAAAAGTTTCTCAACAAATGAGGAGAATCGTCCACCATGAAAGGTTTCTTGGATTTCGAGAAGAAATAAATTTTTTCAATAAAGTTTATTTAAAGATCTTAAACACTATTTACATTTACTAATCATACCCCCTTTTTTTTCTCTACGAAATGCATGATCTGGCAGCAAATATAAAAACCCCCCCTTTTGTAAAATTTGAGCTAATGTGCCACTGATGATGAGATTAAATGGTCTCGAAATATGTAGGGCTCTTTAATTCATTAAATTACCTATTTATGGAGGAAAACTTTGTGTTTTTCTTTGAGAATTGAATTTCAACTCCACTTTGAGAGATGGACTTTCTTCAACCTATATTAATAGACTATAAACTAAAATAACCTTCTTGTGCTCACCATAAATATTCCTTGGACAATTCTTACGCAAACATGTCCAGCAGTTAACCAACTGGCAGGCACCAGTACTGCTACAACTCCAGTTCCCAGAACTCCTACTCCATAAAGTCTCTCAGCTCCAACTCTAGCTGCAATCCTACTAGCTGCTAACGGTGAAACTAAAGTACCCCACATAAAAGCCTGACGCAATATTCCTTCTGTTTCGTCTGTTCTGGTCATTGGAATCTAAAGACAAGAAGATAAAGCAAGTTTTCAATTGTATGTTGAAACTCACCTCGATATGTGGTATTGACCTGACAACATGAATTGTGTAGGTACTTTCAGAGTCATTACGATCCATAGTTTGGCAGTATCTTGTAATATAACTTGTATTTTCAATATATTCGGCAAACTCTTCTGCTGAATATACTGAAGTACTATTGGCTCTTAGTGCTACGGAAGCACTTTGTTCTACTATTCCACATAAAATGAAGCCTGTTAGTACAAATACTACTAAAACTTGTCTGGAACCTATTTGGTCTAAAATAATTTGTTTTTATAGAGTATTCGAATTACTATTACTTATGTAAGTATACTTACCATTAACAACTTTCGCTGCTTTTTGCAGGGTCACACTGCCCCTTTTAAGGGTTTTAATTCCGGGAGCCATTTCACAAGGTTTTAACCAACATTGTTTTAATTTATTGTTCTAGTGAACTTTACGCCCGTAGCCGTTTGATTTAAAGATATGAAATAGCAGTATAAGTTTAATTTTATTAGGTAATTGAGCCATTAGAACCTATTTAGAGCGCGCAGAGGAAAATTTTATGCGCTTATTAGCTTCCTACACTTTATCTTCGAGTGGAGGTTCTGCTGGTGAATGCGCCATAAAATAATATGGGTAATGTTTTTGTAAGCATTTACGGTAATTAACAAGAAAATATTGGTTATATAAATAACGACTCTTATTGATATAATAAATTGCAAATTGGGACTTTTTGGAAAAATTTAATACTTAGGTATACCAAATATTTGGCAAGCTTTGGTGTAGCATCTACAGCTTATGGAAACCGCTCAAACTTTTGGCTATTCTTATATTTTATTTTTTTTATTTGTGGCTGAAGTGATCTTTTATGGTTCATGATTATTGAAAAATAAAGCAAAATAATTATAAAAATGTGTTGGTGTTATGTATTGGAAGTTTCCCAAGCACTGCAAATATCTGCAATATTAAATTTGCTGCGTTTGCAAAAATTCTAGTCCAAAACAGTACACGCTGGAACAAGCATTTTATTCGAATATGCTCGTTCCAGTCAATTTAGGTGCTGAACTATTTCCAATTTTGCGTTTATTTTGAGGTGGTGTTAAACTTTGTAACCCGGGGATGGTTTTCGAAAGTGCTCGGATTACTTTTGTCGAGCAGTGTTTGGGCACAGCAGTGGTTTTGTTGGTTCCGCTAAGGGATTTCTTTTTTCCTTGCTTGGGTTTGATTGAAAAATATTTCAGCAAAGGAATACCTCAAGATTTGAGAGTTGATACATTAACCTCAATCAGATAGATTCTCGTGTTTTTTCAAAATTTTCACATGGAAATATACCTTATTTTTTCCACAAAAGGAACTATTTAGTGAACATGATCGCCCCTTTCAGCTACCAGAACTCAAACGATGAAGTGGTCAGTCCATAGGCGATTAGAACCAGTGAAAATGAAATAAAATTTAAATTTCTGACTAAGAAGTACAGAGCAGTATATGAGTATGCTGGATTAAAATAATTTTTTTTTTGCTGATCAATATCCAAATCGTGCTCACCTTCACAAGCAAGTAGGTCTTATTGAACTATAACGAACCACTGGTGAGTACGTTTCTTCAAAATCAATTCCTTTTCTTTGTGCACATCCTTTTATTACCAAACGAGCTTTGTAATGGGAAATGCTATCTTCATTTTTCTTAGATTTTAAAACCCACTTACAATTTATTGCTCTCTTCCCGGCTGGTAGATCTACTGAATCCCAAGTGTGATTTCTGATAGCCTGAAGCCATTTATCCTTATCTGACCTACTTAGAGCTTCTTCTACGGTTAAAGGATCTTCACCTGCTTCAATAATAGTTAAATAAGTTACATAATCGTTCATTGCACCGGGAGGTTTTCTTATGCGCTGTGGCCTTTGAATCAAAGCTTCAATTTCAACTGGAACTTTTGAACCTTGTTCTGAACTGTAACTTGAACTACATTCACCCAATTTCTGAATTCCATCTGAAAAATTTGTATCAATACTATCAATAGGCTCACAAGCAGCCGTATTTTAAATTCCATTCTCAATTTCAATGTTTTCTCCATGCCACTGTTCTTCATCAGGTTCAATGTTCACCTCTTCTCTTTCATTGTCGCTTCGGTCGCTTCTATTTGCAATAGATTTACTTACAGGAAATTCAAAAAAATCAGTCATATTTTTATCTCCATTTTTCTCTAATAAGTTGCATCCTTTTTCATTCTCAATAAATTGAACATCTCTGGATACAATCACAATTTTTTTTATTGGATTATATAGCCGGTACGCTTTCGATTCCATACTGTAGCCAACAAAAATGCACGGAATGGCCTTTACATTCAATTTCCTTCTTTTTTGACTAGGAACATGAGCGAATGCTTTACAACCAAAAATTTTGAAATGTTTAACTGTTGGTTTTCTATTAGTCCACAATTCTTCAGGTGTTTTTTCAATTGTCCTACTTGGTAAACGATTTGATACATAAACACATGTATACACAGCTTCAGCCCAAAAACATTTCGGTAGCTCAGCTTCAATCAAAAGACAACGCGCTTTTTCAATGATTGAACGATTAAGTCTTTGCTACAATATTCTCCACCGTTGTCAGTTCTTAAACATTTAATTTTTTTACCAGTTTGTGTCTCCACTAAGTTCCTGAAAATCTTGAAATATTCAACAACTTGATATTTATTTTTCAAAAAATAGACAAATGTCTTATGGCTATAATCATCAAGAAATGTCAGTAAATACCTTGAGCCAGCCAGCGAATTTTCTTGCATCGAACCACATAAATCGGAGTGTATTAATTCCAACACTTGATTAGTCTTGCTTCCACTGCTATGAGAAGGTAATCGGTGACTTTTTCCCATGATACATGTTTCACATGCATAATCTGATGGTAGATTGCCTTTGATGTCCATTCCATAAACTAGACCATCTTTAAGTTTATTTAAACTTCCCATGTTCACATGAGCTAAGCGACTATGCCATAAACTAATTTTTGATGAAATACTCAACATGGCTGTGTGATTGTCTCTTTTAAACAAATCTAATTTAAACAAATTATTCTCCAGAGTGGCTGTGGCAATTAGTTTTTTTTGAAAAATCATAAATGCTAGCACCACTTGAACTAAAAATAACAGTGTGCCCTTTTCTAACTATCTGACTAATTGACAATAGATTTACGTTTAACTCTGGGACATAATAAACCTCTTTTACTTTAATATTAGAACTTTTTTTATCGATTGAGAGGCAAAGATCGACATTACCAATTGTATCGGTACTCATTTCTTGATTATTAGCAGTTGCGATTATCAATTTTGCCGATTTTTCTTCAGATTTTAATACATGCCGATTTGATGTCATAAGTGCAGAACATCCTGAATCCAAGTACCATACATCATTGTTTTTTTGCTGAACTGAAAAAGCAGAAAATAAAGAAGAAGAAAAATCATCTCTATTTTTATTTTTGTCCTGAATTCTTTTCCTCTCATCGCATTCATTGGCGAAATGACCATACTTATGACAATTGTAACAACGTGGACCATTCTGTTTGAAGTTTTTGTTATTATTAACCATATTTTTCTTTTTTGAACGACTCCCATATCCGTACATTGCCATTGTATTTTGGTCAGGGTCAGTGTCCACAGAAATATCTTGAAGCAATTTGGTTTTGATGGAATCACCAGTGACGGGTATACCTGAGCTTTCAATACCGTCAAACGGGGTGACTAAGGACGGATTTGACACTTTTTTGTGAATATTTCATGACCAGAATTAGTAAATGGCAATTTTAAGGTGGCTACATGTTTCTACATATTTTGGGAACACGTATGCTAAAAATAATATTTTTTCGAAAATCTTAAATATTTTTTTTTAAATTTTGAAAATTGTCCCGTTTCACCCCGTTTTCGGGGTGACTAGGGACAAGCACTTATTTAGCACTAGAAACCATTGTAAGGCGTTTCTGGAGTGAGACGGGACAAAAATAGAAATTTTTAAAAAAGTAAACATTATTTTTATTGATTTTTGAACAAAATAAAAAAATTTCTACACAAGAAATTATAAAAAAAAAGGTCATTTCTTTCGATAACAATAATGGGTCTACCTAATTTTTCAAATTTATTTGGAATGGAAATTTAACTGCACCTCTTCGCAGTTCCACAGGTCTTGGAAGTATTTTCAAAACCTGGGAAATGTTTACTGTGGATTCATCGGGAACTATTGGAAAAGCAAAGCCATTTTCTATTTTCGAATGTTCTCTTAAAAAAGTGATTCTTATTTGGTCACCAGATTTGTCTAAAATTTTTCCCACAAAATTTTTCGAAAACTTTCCGTCTGTAAATTTTACAATTGCAAAATCTTCAATGTGCAAATCAGTCACTTCCTCTGGCTCTTCTTCCAGGTTTTCCACATCTTCATTTTGATTTCTTTCTTCTCCCTCAGACTCTATGTCTTGTATGCTCCCATTATCATCAGATTCACTTCTATTTAATTCCATCTCCATTTCACTATTGTCAGAATCGGAGTCAGAACTTCTTTCACATGTCACACTTCTACCGGGTGTTACTAGAATTTTCTTTCCTTTACCTTTCTTTGCTGGGTTTGTTGGAGTTCGCTGGTTCTTTAAAAAGTCTGTGAGCGTTTCGGTCCAAGCTAGTTGGCCCTCATCTTCTCGAACAGGCTCTGGGGGTAGACGTTTCAAGACCTGATCCCTGTCGAGTGGAATAAGACCACAACAACGAAATCCAGCCTTTATGTTGTCTTCTAGCTTGTCTCCAATATTATCCAAAGCTTTGTTTAATAAGCCTGGAAACTCAGGTTTTGGGAGTACTCCTTTATTTTTTTTCTTCCACTCTAACAAAATTTTTCTCCACGATTGCTTGAGTGGTTTAAAAAATGCTGTATCCAGAGGTTGTGTAAGGTGGGTGCTATTGGGAGGTAGCAAAACGAATCTGATATTATTTTTTTGACATTCCATGATGACATTTTGGGAGATGTGGCTACTCAGGTTATCGCCTATTACAACCTTAGGCCCCTCAAGTCTTCGGAAGTAGCCTAATGCTATAGTCAAAAACCACTGTTCAAATTGATTTGAATCGAACCATCCACTTTTTGTATTTCCATATCTAGAACCCTGTGGTCCATTTCTTATCCAGTTTTCATAGAGATGTTCTGATTTGAACACCACGTATGGCGGCAACATTACACCAGATCCACTAATTGCAAACATGACTGATGTTGATGTTTTACTGGAATCAAGAATACGGTCTGCATGTTTGTTGCTTCTGCGAATAACGACACGCTGACGGCCCGGATCGTCCGTGAAGTTTGTCTCATCATAGTTCACGATGTTCGCAAGAGGAATGTTTTCTAGAGATAAGTTTAGTTCATCAAAATAGACATTTATTGCTTGCCTGTCAACTGCAGCCCTTGCTCGTTTAATGTTTTCGGAAAGTCTTAAAGCCAAATTATTTTTGTGGCGCAA